GGGCACTCTGGGTGGGCGGGGGCGCCGGACGAGCAGGGCGGGGCTGGAGGGACGGGACGCTCGGCGGGTGGGCGAGGGGAGGCGGAAGGGCGTGGCCGGAGGCGCGGGGCGGGGCCTGAAACGGGGCGTGTCGGTAAGAGGGGCGCCTGGTAGGCGGGGTTGCGCGCCCGACCTCCTTGTTCCTATCACCTCTCTCCGCTTCAGAACCTCGGCCTTCTCTCCCGAGCTCCGCCACCTCCCTGCTAGACAGACGCCAGAGAGCACTGGCCGGTCCAACTGAGGAGAGTCCGCGGAGCCGTGCGGTCCGCGCCTCGGTGCTGCCGCCAGCTGCAGGGCGCGCAGTTCTTTTGAGTTGCAGGAAGCCGGAGTCTGGAAGGCCGGTTATCCTAGCCCCAGGCCTGTGTCGGAGGAGTCACCGCTATTCCCCGGCCTGGCTGCGCTCCCGCGCTGTGCTGCGAACGCAGACGTGCTCGCCCGCCCCTGCGGCACACAGGTCGTGTTGCTGCTGTGCATGGCAGCTGTGAGGAGAGCACAATTTACAGCGAGGTAGGAAGTAAATCGAGAGCTGTGAGGCTTTTGTTTTGTGTTATTGTCTTGTTTAAATAAAATTAAGCAAGGATGAAGGCGATTCCAAAATACTAACCCAAGATGCGATACACTGCTTGTTGAAGTTTGCTCTTGGCAGATGTCGGTTCTCACAGGGACAGGAGACTGCGTCTTGTACATGTCATCACTTCCCCACGGTGAGTGTCAGAGGGTAGTTACAGCATTTAAAATAGTTTTAAAACAACTGCCACCCCAAACTACACGACCTGAAAACACCTTTGCTTAAGAGTACTTAACATTTCGCAAAAATTAAATATATGTAGTATACATGAGCTATTATTCAAAGAACATGTTTATAAATGAATCAACATGCAAAGACAGCCGGGCATGGTGGCGCACACCTGTAATCCCAGCATTCGGGAGGCTGAGGCAGGAGGATCGTTGCAAGTTGGAGACCAGCCTGGGCTACAAAGTGAGTTCAAGGCCAGCCTGAACTGAATATCAAGACCCTGTCTCAAAAAGACGAAAAACAAAAAAAATGCAAAGACGTAGATATAATAGATGTAAGTGTGGCAGCGTTTTTGTACAATTTTAATTTCGCTTGCAATATTAATTCACACAACTAGGTAAATAGCAGATCGTCATGTATTTTGAAATGATTCCAAACATTTACTTCATCTGCTAGTGAGTGATACATACTTTACTATGAGAGAGCTTGGAAATCCCTCTCCCTTGGAGAAAGTGCTCTTACACCTTACCAGACTCCACCTGTGGGTTATGGACCTCAACTACTAAAACTCAAAATATATAGAAACTCAAGAGGTTGACAGACACTTTGACAGCTCAGGTAGTGGCAGGCTACACTGTCAGCTGCTTCTCTGAACACCCCCAACTCAGGCATCCCAGCTGATCTCAAATGCTGCCCCCTCCACACCAGCACCTTTCTCTAGGTGGAGGCAAAAGTCCTCATCAGCTCTCAGTTGCGGTTAATGCCTTTTCCCCCGGAGCAGCTTGTATAAAAGCACCCCTCAATCTTTAATTTCGCTTCACTTTCCAAGAAGAGACCTACTTCCATCCTAGTTGAGCAGCTAATGATTGACCTCACTCATTATGTAGTTGGCATACCTCATCAGTCAAATATATTCTCTATAAAGTTTATTCTGATACTCCCCCTACATAATAAAGCTCTTTAGCATGTCCAAAAGTTATTCAAACACATTGAAGATGGTTTTATGTCAGATAGTCATTAGGTAAATCAAAACATAGAAATAAACAATGAAATTCTCTTTCCCACATTTAAGAAATATGCTTTAATATCTCTTACATTGAGAAAAACAAGTTACTGAACTATGTGGATTATATGAGCCCACCTATAATTTTTTTAAAAATCAATACTATAAAAAGTTTATATACACAATGGCAAAATACTTTTACCAGCTGTTCCTCGAACAAAGGACTAATATCTATTATATATTAAAAAAACTCAAAAAGGCAGATCCCCCAAATGTAAAGATGCAATCCAAAAATGTGCAATGAATTCTGAAATGAATAGATACTTCTCAGATAAAGAAGTACAAACAGCAAATAAATATATGAAAAAATGTTCAATATCACTGTCATCTGAAGAAGGCAAATTAAAACAACACTAATATTCTACCTCACCTCAGAAAGAATGGCTATTATTATTGGTTAAGAAATTAACCGATAACAAATGCTGATGAGGCTGTGGGGCATAAGGAGCCCTTCTCCATTGTTGGTGACAGCGTAAACTGGTACAATCAATATGGAAATCAGTATGGAGATTCCTCAGAAAACTGAAACTAAAGGTTTACATTTGAGCCCACTATTCTCCTCCTTGGTATCTTCCCAAAGGAATTAAAAGCATCATGCCATGGTTATATTTGCACGCACATGTTTATAGTGGCACAGCTTGTAATAGCTAAATCAACTATTGGAAACAGCCTAGATGCCCATCATTAGATGAATGGATAAAGAAAATGTGGTTTTTGTATACAATGGAGAACTACTCTGCCATAAAGAAGGATAAATTTGAGACATTTTTAGGTAAATGGATGCATCTTGAAACCATACTTTTAAATGAAATAAATCAGACACACATTTAACTATCACTTT